GCAATTCCATGTTTTACTTTTGAGGAATTTCACAAGTGCCTTTGAAAAATTCACCCAAAAGTACCATATAATTAGGTGCAGTGGCCCTGCCTGTGAGAGTCTCGTAGTCTTCAGGGCTACTGTCCAACTAGCCCTTGTCAGGGTGCCCAGCCTGGGGCCAGAGGTTCCACAGATGTGAATTCTTTCCACTCTCCTAGCATCATTCCATTGAAGGGCAAGGAAAGGGGCTCAGAGAGGGGTAACTACGCCCATCACACAGCAATAAATTGGGGAACCAGACTTCAGCCAAACCTACCCAAGTCCCAAATCAGTTCTTTTGACCATTGTGCCAACAGGCAGGATGATCAGATGGGATACTATAAAGATGGCAGGATTTTCTGCTATAAAACCTACTTGAGGTCAACCAAAAAACCTGGGCTTTTCTTGCTGCTTCCCTGCACTGTCTGAAATGCTGTCTCCATCAAAGATGGAAGCTGGAGGAGGGCACCCTTCAAGTAAGATGTGGTCACATGACCACCCCCATCCATCATCTGTCATCTAGCCCCAGGGAGCCAAGGGCAAGATCAGAAAACTGAGATCATCAATACAGCTGTCCTTTAGCCCTGCTAGCTCGTATTGTGCTAGACAGTGCTTTGCTGGGGCACCTCTTCCAGGCTCACTGACCCCTGACCCAGAGTGGGGAATAGGGATCTCTGTAGGACATCTTTGCTAAAAGAGAAATGAGCTCTTGCTGAGCTGCTGGCTGGGGTTCTGACTGAGTGAGGGTGTGGGCTCTTCCTTCCTGACTTGGGGCCTAGGGCTTTGAGACCTCTTCTCAGCACTTAATCCACTGCTTCTGCAGAATCAATTATTGATGAGGGCTCTGCAGCCGTTACAATCCCAGAAGAATCTCCTGACTGCTATTTCCAGCCTAGGCAGGGAGAGGAGGGGCCTGGGTGAGATGAGCTTGTTTCTGAAGGTGTGGTCAGTGGTCCAGGCTATGACTTCCAGTGGTTAGTGGCCCAGAGCACTGTCAGGCCAAGGGTGCTTCTCACCTGTGGGGGAAGAGGGAGCCCCAGGCCTGCTTTGCCTTACCTAGACTATCCAGTCTGTGTCCTGAAGATCGGTGATGGGCAAGCTGAGTGAAAGGCCTGCCCACAGCAGCCCAGGGCCAGAGCTTTGTACCTGCTAGGGGCAGAGGTTCAGACTGATGGCTGGTGACCCTGAATGCCAGGGAGGCATCGGGAAGAGGGGGAGGAGGCCAGGTAGAATTCGCACTGCCTGGAAGGAGATGGTATGACAGCCACACTTCCCATCTGTCCATCAACTTCCCTCAGGGGAAGGCCTGACATATGGGATATGACATGGGGATGCCACAGCAGATGGCAGAGGAGCCCTGGGAACTGCTGGGAGGGGTTCCTATCTCAGGACAGTGCCCAAGCTGAGGGCTTCTTGGGTGGAGTCCAGGGCCCACCCAGATTCTCTTCTTTCCCCAAAGAGGAGGGGCCTCTTTCTGAGCTGTATGTTTCTTCTTTGGAGAGCCCTCTTCCCACAGCCCTTTTCTCATCCGTGCTGTGGACCTCTTCTATCACCAAGTGCTCTCTCTCCCAGGCTTACGAGTATCTCCAGGGGCTCAAGGCTGTGAGAATTGGACTGAGCTGCCTCTTGGTCCAGCTGGGCCTGCATAGCCCCAGAGGTCATATTCCTCCCTATACTTTAGCTCACTTGTGAGGTGGGCTGTGCTGGCATCCCCTGTGTGGGCTCTGGGAAGAATAAATGGAAGAATACAGAGGATCAGGCTGGAAAGGAAGCTCTAAGAACTTATTAATGAGTAAGAATGAATATGTGACCATGTGATTGATTGATTTGGGTACTGAAGATTGAACTCAATGTGCTTTATTACTGACCTACAATCTCCAGCTCTTTTTTTTTTTTTTTAATTTGATACAGGGTCTCACTATGTTGCTTAGGGTCTTGCTAAGTTCTTGAGGCTGGCCTTGAATTTGCAATCCTCTGCCTCACCCTTCAGAGTTGCTGGGATTAAAATCATGCACCATTGTGCCTGGCTAACCATGGCAGTTTTAACCAGTCTTCTGCCACCTCTATGTTCAGTTATCCTAGGTGACCTTAGGTCTCCTGACTTAAAATACCCTGGGACCTTCTGGAGAGAGAGGTTCATCTGGGAATGGTATCCATTCATCCTACAGGCTGAAGTGTAAAATGGAACAAGCCCTGTGGCCTCTAGCAGAGCTGGGAAGAGGATGTGGCAGCCAGGTCATAAGACTGAAGGAGACTGAGAGGGGTCTTCTCAAGTCACTGTGGAGCCTGTGTCACCATGGCTGTGGGTTTGGTGGAGGACTGCCTAACACTGTGTGGGCACAGAGAGTAGGCTGTGTGGTGGGAAGGCTCAGGTAGAGAATCCTGGGTATAGTTGGACCATGCAAATAAATCCCTTTTCCAGTTACAACTCTGGGCACTGGGGCACTAGGAACACCCGACTAGGGTATACATGTGTAAAGGATACAGAGCCTCAAGGTAAGGCCACCTGTAGTGGCATTCCTACTGGGATCAGACCCCAGTGTGTGGGGGGCAGAGGCAAAAGAGAGACCAGGAATGTAAAAATGCTCAGACTTCTCATCTGTTAGAAGGGGACAGGAAGGGATCTCTAGCAGAAGAGACAAAGAATGGAAAGATGGACAGAGGACAGATAGTGAGAAGGGAAGGTGCCAGCGGAACCAGAGAAGACAAAAAAGACATCTCTGAAGCACTTGGATATGGTCCTCATTGTGCCATCGCATCGCTGCAGGGACTGCTTGCTCAGGTTTGCAGGACCAGGTTCACAGAGACTGTCTCTGCCTCAGAAATTTACTGTTAAATATTGAGATTTTTTGGGGCTGGGGTTCTGGCTCAGTGATAGAGCACTTGCCTGGCACGCATGAGGCAACGGATTTGATCCTCAGCACCGCATAAAAGTAAATCAATAAAAGTATTGTGAAAAAATTTTAAAAATATATTGAGATTTTTATTTACTTTTTTTTTTTTTTTGGTACTTGGGATTGAACCCAGGGGGGCCTTAACCACTGAGCCACATCTCCAGCTACACCCCTCTTTTTAAAAAAAATCTTTATTTTATTTATTTATTTATATGTGGTGCTGAGGATTGAACCCAGGGCCTGGCACATGCTAGGCAAGCGCTTTACTGCTGAGCCACAATCCCAGCCCCTGCCCTCCCCCTTTTTAAAATAATTTTTAGTTGTGATGGACACAATACCTTTATTTATTTATTTTTCATGTGGTGCTGAAGATGGAACCCAGTACCTTACTCTTGCTAGGCAAGCGCCCTACCACTGAGCTACAGTCCCAGCCCACTCTCCAGCCCCCTTTAGAAATATTTTATTTATAGGTAGGGTCTTGCTGAGTTGCTTAGGGCCTCGCTAAATTGCTGAGACTGGCTTTGAATTTGTAATCCTCCTGCCTTAGCCTCCTAAACTGCTGGGATTACAGGCATATGCCACTATGCTCAGCTAAATATCGAGATGTTTGAAGAGAATGTCTTTGTATCAAAGAGAACCACCTGGACTGATTCTGAGAAGACACATTCTGTTCTGTTTTGTAGCGCTAGGGATGGAATCCAGGGCCTCATGAATGCTAGGCAAGTGCTCTCCCTGAGCTCCACCCCTGCCTGCTTGATATGGTTTGATTATCCCCTCCAGAACTCACTGTGAAGCTTAATCCCTAGTGTAACATTGTTGGGAGGTATTGCCTAATGAGAGGTGTTTAGGCCTCATGAAGTCATCTTGGCTTCTGCTGGCATGTGCTCTCTCGTCTGTCTGCCATGTTATAATGTGGCTCTTAAACTTCCCAGCCACAAGGATTATTAGCCAAATAAATTTCTATAGTTTATAATTTGCCCATCTAACCAGGCATGGTGGTGCAAGCCTATAATCCCAGTAGCTCAGGAGACTGAGGAAGGAGGATAGCAAGTTCAAGGCCAGCCTCAGCAACTTAGTGAGGACCTGAGCAACTTAGCGAGACCCTATCTCAAAATAAAAAATTAAAAGGGCTGCGGAGGTGGCTCAGTGATTAAGTGCCCCTGGGTTTAATCCCCAGTACTAATAATGATAACAATAATAATAGCAATTTGCCCAGTCTATGGTATTCAGTTGTAGCAGCACAAACACATGAAGACAACACTGTTTTAATTTCACTTCCCTGGGGAACTTAGTCTCCCATCCTCCCAGGCCAAATATTGAAATTGGAGAGACCATTACTGTCATTCAGGGTCCACAGGAACCAGCTGGCACACCAGAGTAGGAAACACAAGGTCAGTTAAATAAAGGACCATTTATGGAAGTGTGGGTATACAAGAGACATTATGCTTCTAGCTCAGGAGTTGGTAACAGTAGGACACCATATTGCCCCTTCCCCCACTGGGGCCTGAAGGGGCCAGAGGAAGAAGCTGTGGAGAAAGACAGCCCACCTAGGCCATCCACTTCCATCCTGTGAAGCTTTCTGCTGCACCCAGCAAACCTGGTCCTCCCTAAGGCACCCCCAATGTGGCATGCTCCCCTATTCCCATCAAAATACATCTAGTGGACCAGGTCAAGGGCCACAGTTCAGAGAAGGGCCCAGCAAAACTGCTTTTGGGAATCTGGAGTATGCAAAGCTTTAACTACAAGATGGTCACTGTAGCACCACTGCTTAAAGCTAAAACATGGACACAAATTGTGAGCTGATAAAATGAACTTTGATCTGTCTACACCAAAGAAAATTTAGCTGCTGAAAGAACAGGAGGCTCAGTGTGCACCTACAGTGAGAGGACTCCAGGCAGGCCATTAGGAAGGCAACCTGCCAGACAGGGAGTACAGCACAAGGTCATGCTGAGAAACAACAAACCAGCCAGCAAACATGGTTTGCACACAAGAGAACATAGCTCAGAAGGAATAGTAATAACTGTTATCCAGACTCATTTCAGGAGTGAACCAACCTGAGGTGGGGCTTTAAGTCTGTATTTCATATGCTTTGTACTGTTTTGCTTTTTTTTTTTTACAGTAAGCACACAATTTTTTCAAATGCAATTTATATAAAGAAGTGTTTATATATATATGTTTTATATATCATACATATGTAGAGAGAGAAACTGAGGAAAAGGTAATGAGGTAATGAACAGAAAAAATATGCCATTGTTCATTATAATTTTGATGTTTGGTAATTGTTATTAGTCAATTAACATTTACTGGGCACATGAGGTGTGCCAGGCACTAGAAGGGTGCTGACCAGCACAGCTGCCTACAAAATGCTCACCATCTACAGGCAGCAGACAGGGATACTGGATGTACCAGCAGAGGGCAGAGATGAGTGGCATGGGGAGGGTGGGAAAGTTAATAGCAGTGAAGAGGGTCAGGAAAGACCCCATGGAAGAGCAAAAGGAGGGGCACAGAGGAGGGCAAGTACTCTGGGCAGAGAGCTGGGGGTGTTCCTGCCTACTCTGGGTTTGCAAGAGGAAATGGTGGAGTCAGAAACATGCCAGACTCTGGACAGTCTCTTGAGTCCTCTATAGATGAGTAGTGGTCAGATCACAAAAGTCCTGCAGATATACGGCCAATGGGAGAGAGAGAGGCAGGAAGGCAACGGTGGTCACCATGAGTGCCAGAGCAGGGCAGAATAAAGTTCAGGGGATAAGAAGTGAGTTATCCAAGGAGTGGCCATGAAGTCCTTCATCTCACAGTATGGCAAAGGAAATTCATCCTCTAGATGGGCCAGACGTGTGAGCAGCTTGTTCTGTCCATTGTTGCCCAATGACCTGGAGGGCAGGACCATGGGGATCTCAGAGGTACTAGGGAGGAACCTGAGAGACTTTCTTGTCCATTGCCTTTGAGAGGAGCAGGGCTGCCCAAGGAACCCGGAAGTCTGTGGCAGAGGGACAGTGCACAGTGAGGCCTGGAGTTCCAAGGCCTGGAACTTCATGTCCCATTGATAATAGAAAACTCCCTGGTAGGATGGCAAGTAGGTTTTCTCCTTGACAAATTCTGGTCACCTGGAACATTGTAATGAGAAGGATTCTGAAGCCACATCTAAGATCTTTGGAAAGAGTGCCAGGGTTGACTGCTGATGTGGGCCATGGGTGAAAGATGTATGACAATGCAGGAGTGTCCTGAGCTTGTAGCCCTGAGGCTTCTCAAGGCCACAGATGACATTCTGATGACCCTAAAGGTGAGACTGCCCATTTAAGGAGCTCACTGAAATACCCACAGTCAGGCATGATGCCCCTTGGTAGGCAGTGTGGAGTGCTCTGGCAGTCAGTGGCTCCTGATCTGCCAGAAAAACGGCTGATCCTTGGGAATGCAAGCCCTCTACACCTAGAGGGGAGACATACTGCAGAGTTCAAGCTCCACGTCACCTCTCCATCGTCACAGGAGCTGCTGCCCATGCACCCAAGGAGTGGAGGCCTCTGATGCTTGCCCAAGCTAACAGCAGCTCAGGCTGGAGGGCCTCTTGTTCTCCTGGGTCTCCAGTGAGCTCCCCTCCATTCCTGTAGAGAGGAAAAGTAAGTTGGTATCATTCAAGCATCCTGCAGCCAACACTGGGCAGGGGCCACACCCACTCTGTCAGTGGGTACCCTGACCTTTATCTCCTAGGCCTATTGTTTGAAGCTTGGGGCAAGAGGCCTAGGGGCACTCTGGGTGGTGGAACAGAGTGGGCAAAGGCAGAGACTAGGAGAACCAAAGCAGAGCCCTAGGAGGCTGTCTGGAGGTCAGGAAGGATGACACAGAAGGTGTCTGAGTTGGAAAGCAGGATTAGGGAGGCTGCAGGTCTGAGACTGGAGCAACAGCCCAGAGAAGAGGGTCCAAAGAAGACAATGGAGGGCCATAAGTTAAGGAAACGGGTGATGGGAGGAGAGTGGATATAGATTTTTGGCCTTCAGCCTGCTCCCCAATCATGTTTAGTCATGGCTGTACGTACGGATGAGGTCTCCATCGCCAACCTGGGGCCGAGTGCCATTTCTCTTCTCCAGATCCTGCAGTACTGACTGCTCAAATGCTAAGGCAGCGACACGGCTGAAGAATGCCTTCACGTTCTCTCCTGAGGGCCCACAAGATAACTGTGTGACCCCAGCTGACCCCCAAATGTATTTGAGCATCCAAATACAGGATAGCCCACCCTCATGCCAGCACATGGCCCTTTCTGAGTACCTCTGACAGTAATAGTGACTACCTGAACACAGTCCCACCACCCATCTGGGAACTCACAGTGCTGGGGGCAAGGCCCCCCAGCTGGCTTCAGCCCTATCTTCCCACCTGGCTCCAGCCCCCATCCCTGACCCAGCTGCCTGCCTAGGCTACTTCCTCAGACCTCTAAGCCTTCATTCCCTAGCATCTACGCTTCTAATCAATTGCTATTGAGCACCTGCTATGGGCCAGGTGCTGGCACAGGCAGAGTTCAGGACAAACCTGTGACTGCTCTCCTGTAACTTTCCACATGCTGCTGGCTCTCAGTATGGAGCCTTTGTGTGTACTCTTCCAGGTAGAGGCAACTGCCCATCAGGAAGCAGACTACGCTCCAGCACCCAATAGGAACACTGCCTTTGTGCAGTTCACAACCTACATAACAGCACAGGGCCGTCTGGCTTGGTCTATAGTGAGGTCTCAGTGAACCTGAGGTTACCCTGATAAAGGAGGGTGGGTCTTCACAGGGCAGAAGGGACACTGTTGGGATGCAACAGAGGGCACCAGGCACAGGTACTTCCAAGCATTTATGGTGGGCCAATGATGGTTCTTCCACCCTTGGCTCTCACTCAGTCTGGGGCCAGATGTCCATTGTCTCTGCTTGGCCAGGGCAAGGACTATTGGGCCCAAATCCTAAGTCCTGAAAGCCTCTGCAGTCTACTATATGCCAGGCACTGCATGCTCTTTCATTCAATCTCCCCAGAAACCTGCTTTCAAAGTTTGTTCTTTGCTTAGAGGAGGATTTCCTAATTTTTCTTCAATAAATACATATGGCTTTTATAATGTAAATCATGTTATTTCATTAAAAATAAAATGAGATGGATGGCATCACTCTGCTTCTCAGCTAAGGAGATTTAAGGCCAGGAGATGTTGGGCATCTTGCCTGGTTCTGGGGGACCCAGCATGGCCAGGGTCAGACCACCTATGGATAGCCATGGGGGCTGTGTTGAAAAACATGCCAGTAAGGCAAGGGCCAGAGGTTGCTATTCCTCTCACCCACGATAGGGGCCTCCCAGTGTCCTTCCAGAGAGGAAGAGACTCCTCTCAGGCAATGGAAATTGCTGTCAGTCACCAGTACAGCTGTGCCGTGATACTAGCATGGTCAGAGATGCAAAAGAAAAGGCAAGAATCTCTGTGACACAGCAAGTCCTGCAGAACTGGCCCCACAACAGCCCACACTCCCCCCATGATGATGGCCTCTTGTCCTACTCACCAGTCTTGGATGACACTGACCAGTACTCAGCCTGCATCTCATTGGCCAGGTGCACAGCCTCCAGTTCAGTTTGTTCACATGCTGCTACTGACTGGAAGAAGCAGTATTCACTGACCCAGTGTCCTGGCCCTTCTATAGGGATGCCCCTAAGGGTAGGCAGCGGTTCCCTTTCATTGTGCCACCTCCCTCCCCAGGTCACCTAGGGAAGGTGAGGCAACCCCAGTGCAGAGATGCTGTTTGCCCAGGGATGACACCTCAGTGGTATGAGCACGCTGAATAGGCAAATATGAGTGCCAGTTGTCCCTCTCTTAGGAAACAGCACAGGGAACTTGAGTTCCCCTGACTTTTAGCTCCAATGCCTGCAGTCTTTGAATTCCAGGGCTTTTTATGTCAGTGCCACCCCCACTCCTCAAACTTGAGCTGAATGTGTAGGAATTTTCCTGAGGGCCACCCAGGCCTCCAGCTCTGCTCTGCTTACCAGAAGGTCCTTTTTGGTTCCCACGAGGAAGATGAAGCAGGAGCCTGCCTCATTCTCCCTTAGTGCATCCTCCAGCCACTGCCTGGAATGCACAGAGGGAAGACAGCCTGAGATGCCACCCACCCATCCATGTCTTGAGGACCAGAGGACAAGGTCAAGACTTGACTCCTCCCCAGGACTGGAAGCACTAAGATGGAAGGTTCAGGGAGGGTGCTTTGGCCCACACTGGCTTAGTGGGGATGCTGGTCCTATAGACAGAAAGACTTTTGTAGGACCAGAGGGGATTGGCAATACAAAAGCACTAGTCACAGGGAGATGAAGAGCCCATCCTCATCCTCTGAGACCTTGGGTGGGTCCTGCACTTTATCAACTGGAATGCATTCCTGCCTCCCTCACATGCTTTGGAGGTTTTTGGATGTGAATGCCTCCAGACAAATGAAGGGTGAGGGGGCTTTAGTTCCTGGCAGATGCAGGATGGCCTCCTGGAATTGGTGACATTGCCCATGTTTCTTCTAAGACAACAAGTACCAAATTCATGTTCCTTCAAGACAGGGCTGGCTCTGAAATTATCAGGGCCTAGGGAAAAGGGAACAGAGAGGACTCCTCATTCAGAAATGATTAGAACACTCAAGATGTGATAGCAGAGTGGCAGAGCATTTTTGGGGGAGTGGGGTGTTGGGACTGAACTCATGGTCTCATGCATGTTAGTCAAGTGCTCTCCCACTGAGTCACATCTCCAGCCTGACAGCAGGGTATTAAAGCAAATGTGGGTCTTTTGGAGCAAGAGCTGTGGTGCAATTGCATTGGTTATATACCCCTGAGTAGCAGATGAGGACAGATCTTGAGGGATAAAAAGGCAACTGAACAATAGGTGGCCTATGGGCAATTGGTTCTGACAAATGAGCCTGGTCACTTAAATCCATTTTGGGGGTCCCTAGTGGCCAGGTTTAGGGAGTTCTTCTAGGCAGGTTCCTGAACTTAGGTGGCCTGAAGGATTCACAGAGTCCAGGATTACTTGCCTGGTATGCTCCAGAGTCTGTACATCAGTGAGGTCAAAGGCTGTGATGATCACTAGACACATAGGGAAAAGCCAATAGCCAATCAGTAACAAGTGAAGCCAACAAAGTATGAAAAAGGGGCTCCCCTCAGACACATCTACAGAACCCAAGGAACTGCCAACATAGCTTCTGGCTCTGAACCCCAAAGTAGAGGCTGGGGAGGAAATTCCCTATGGCTTCCCTCTAGGATCTGCCCTCCTGCTACCTATACCCAGCAGCACAGTCTCAGGGAGGAATCCAAGGAGGTAGGATGAGGAGACAGGAGCATGTGGCCTTGGCAACAGATACCCTCTGCCACTTATGGAGAAGGGAGCCTGGGCAAGAGTCTTAATGGTTGAGAGCCTCAGTTTCCCCATCTGTAAAATGGTCAGAATGATACCTCTAGCTCTCAGGGATGCTGTGAGGGCAAATAAGGGCAGCTATTTTGAAAACTATTAGTTTAGAGCCTGGTCACAGTTTCAACCTATGGCTATGATGATAATTAGCAACAACCAGCTCAATGGAAACAACTTCTAGGGAGTCAGATGAGCAGAAAACTGGGATGTGCAACCCTGTTGTCAGCTCATCTTGTCACTGGTACTCCCTTAGGCCCATGGTGTTGAGGTGGTTCCTGAGGGGAAGCCCACGTGGAGGACATTCCAGGCAAATATCTGTTCTCTACTACCCACCCCTTGGGATGTGAGCAAGCTGAACAGAGGATACCTCTGCACTTTGGCTGATGGCTGATGGCCCTCCTAAGGCAGAGAGGAATAGAGAAATGGAGGACATTGATGATGGGGATAATGGCAGCCCAGCTGCTGATTGCAGAGCTGTGCCAGGTGTCTCACATCTCTAGCCCCAGGGAGGCAGCATCCCTCAAGGAAAAGAGATCTGGGAGGTAAAGTTTACTAGAGGCCACAGTCAACATCGCCAAACTATAGCTCTAATCCTAGGTGAGTTGCTTATGATTTGCTTCTGTTTTTGCTTCTTTCAAACCTGAGTGAAACATCTGAATTCTTTCACCACTACTGAGTAGGCCTAATTGTGACTTATACTTTGAGTCTGGTTTGGTATCCTTTTGACAATTCTTATACCTCCCACTGAAATCCACTTCTATCTTTTTCCTGGGAAGCTAAGGTTGGCATGAAAAGCTTATGCTGCTGCCTCTGCTGAGCCCTACCAATGCTGCTGACCCCTACTTAGGACCTTCCATTCCTGTCAAGGTCTCCCTTTCATTCTTCTTCTTTGGCATAGCCTTCTCCTAACAAGGCAGGACAAGTCTCTCTCTCTACCTACCACAGAGTCTGATGCTACCCTCTTTTCTGGGACCCCTGGACAAAAACATCCTTTCCTGAGCTGAAAACTGGAACTGAGACAGCCAGCACTCACCATCACAGGCTCCCTAAAAAAAGCATCATTGCCAAAGCTAGCCAAGGCCCTGCCTTGAAGGCAGCTTCCTCACTCCCAAGCACTGGCTGGAGTGTTTTCTCAGTGGCCTGTGCAAAGAACCTAGGTTTCCTGCTATTAAGCACAGCAGGGAGCCCCATGCTGCACATGGCTGAGGGCTCCACCCTTGTAACATTACTTACCCTGGGCACCTCGGTAATAGGCAGATGCAATGCACTTGAACTTCTCCTGTCCGGCTGTGTCCCAGCTGTGCAGTGAGGAAAGAGAAAGGAAAATGGTAGCAGGTTAAGCAATTATAGTAATCTGACCCTCCAGGCCAGTAGTATCATGGAGGGAGACCCAAGGACCTGCACCAGTTGTGTCAACAGTGTGGGCTACAGAAAGGGCTTATATGAGCCAACTATCCCTGCCACCAGATCCTGATGATCCCTCCAGCGAAGAATTCTCACCGGATTCACAGTGCTACTGGGGAGAGCATGGCCTTAGCAGTTCCACTGCCCAGATGAATGGAGTTACAGCTCAGTCTCTTCTGATTGTGACATTCAAAAGGAACATATGTCATTGGATTAGATAAAGAGGAATGAAGGGAAGGGAGGGGGGCTGGGAATAGGAAAGACAGTAGAATGAATCAGACATAACTTTCCTATGTTTACATATGAATACATGACTAGTGTAACTCCACATAATGTACAACCACAAGAATGGGATCCTAATTAGAATAAGTTGTACTCCATATATGTAATAATATGTCAAAAAGAACAAATAAAATAAATTAATTAATTTAGAAAAAAAAGGAACATATGCTCTATAGTGTGGTGTGGCTTACTCCCTGTGAATGGTGCTGGGTTCCAGGCCAGGCCTTCAGCCATGGCCCTCTGCCACTTGCTCATGTGTGACTGGGGCACTGCTTCACCTTCCAGACTGTAGTTACCAGGTATGTCTAACAGGGATGTGATTTGTATCCCCTGGGTAACTCTGATCAATTATCCCTCTGGCTCTTTAAAGTAACACATTGAAATGGACTTAGAAGATGAGCCACAATAAATTAATGCTATTTACCATAGGCATGATATAGAAGTTCGGGAGGCACATGCTGAGATCTATTTGCCCTGGTTTAGAACAAGGCAGGTGGTCAATATGCAGGGATAAGCCTGAAATTCAACACTGAATCCTTTTTTTTTTTTTTTTTTTGGTACTAGTGATTGATCCCAGGGACACTTAACCAATGAGCCTCATCCCCAGTCCCTTTTTATATTTCCTTATGAGACAGGGTCTCACTAAATTGCTGAGGCTGTATTTGTACTTGTGATCCTCCTGCTTCAGCTTCCTGAGCCACTGGAATTACAGGCATATGCTACCATACCCAGCTCCCAATACCTTTTTAAAGCCAACTTATCAAAATTTAACTTTTCTCAGTGAATTGAAAAGTAAAATAAACCACAGACATGACATCAATGATCTAAAAGTTTTTTTCAAGTGATCCAGCATGATGCAGACTTTTTGGCTATCTTCTTTCATTTCTGGAGAAGATTCTGGTTGGGGAGTTGGGGTTTGACTTAGAGATAGGGCCAGCTAGGTGGCTGGTAACAACCTCAATGTAAGAGAGGCTGCAGTAGGACAGTAACGCTGTTTTGTTCTGGCAACTTTAATTAGATATAGCCTGTTGCTATAATGAGAAACCAGCCACTAGTCACTCTCTGCATGGCTCCATGTGGGACACCTGGCTCTTTGTCCTTCTCACCTTTTTAGATCCCTCAGTCTTACTGCCCTGATTTTCACAGCCTCTTTTGCTCTGGATTGACTCTGTACTGTCCCTTGGACACGATGTGATATCATCTGGCTCTAGGATAGCACTAGGACACTGCCTCAATAAGCTGGGAGCTGACATTCACAGGATCTGCAGGTCTAGCCTAGAGAGGGCACAGAGGATTGGGGGATGAAGCAAGATAGGAAGAAAGGGAAGGGGACCACGACAGGCCTGGTTAATGCCAACGGGCAAGAAGAAAACAGTGGCCATCATGCAGGAGAGCAGGGAAGAGAGAGGGGCTGCTCAGGATACTGCGGGGGCCTGGAGCCTGAACAAGGTCTGTGGCATCTTTCAGGTGCCAGAGGAGTGAAAGGCAAGGTCCAGAGAATGTACCACTTTGGGCCAAGGTAAGCCTGGGTAGACCCTGGGCTGTTGTGAGAGAAAGTAAAGGGAGGAGTTGAAACTAGTAGGCCACAGAGAAGCAGAGGCATGGGGTTAGGCAGGAAAGGAGACAGACAGAAATAGAAGGAAAGAGTAGCAGGGGGAGCAGAAGTTACTTGAGGGAAATGTATGAGGAGGAAGATGAGCACATCAGACCTGAGAGAGAGGTGTGGACAGTGTAGCCTCTGCCAGAACCCTCTTTGTCCAAGCCTGCACACAGGGACAGGATTTGGTCCCATTTTATTGCTGCATACAGAGGCTTATCAATGCTACCTTACTTTCTGTGGAATCACAGGAGGTCCAGATTGGGGAAGGGCTTGCTAGAGTCTAGGAGCAGGACCAGACTTAGCAAGAGCAGAAGGCAATCAGGGGAGGTTGGAGATGGGTGGGAAAGTCAGGCTGTGAAGACCTTCCCCAGATCTGATCACCAACACAGAACAACTCCTGGGACTGAGGATCTGGGAACTCAGGGAGCTGTAAAACCCGATTTCTCTCAACCACTCCAGGTTCTGCTTGTCCAGATGGGTCCTTGCTGAGCACCATGGGGTACAAATGAGAACGAGTTGGCCAACATTTTCCCCAGGCACCTCCTGAAAGTCCACACATAAGTCATGTGAGAATCAGCACCCACAACAGCAACTTACATCTGGAGGCTGTAGGGAATCCCAGCAATCTCAAAGCGTTCAATTTCAAAGTCTACCCCAATGGTAGCCTTGTAGTCTCGGTCAAAAACATTCTTGCAAAACCTGTTGGAGGCAATAAAGCTATCAGAGAAGTATCTTCACAGAAATGGGCATGGAAGCTTTGCTCTTGATAGTGACACTACGTCTGGAGGCAAATAAAGTACAATGATGGGAACTGATAAAGAAGGGACCATCTGCAGAGGTTGCAGACAAACAAGTGTGTTAGCTCTCTGTCACTAAACAATCACCTGAAATAATCAACTTAGGGGAAAGGTTCATTTGGGCTCAGTTTTAGAGCTTTCAGTTCATGATATCAGCCTCTCTGTTTGGGCCTGTGGCAAGGCAGCATATCATGGCAGCAGCATGTGGTGGAGCAAAACCACTCGCCTCATGGCTGGGAAGGGAAAGAGAGAAGGAAGAAGGGGTGGGGGTCCCATTATCCCCACTAAGGCCATGCTCCCAATAATCTAGAGACCCTTAAATATTCTACCACCTTCCAGTAGTACCATAGGTGGGGGAGCAAGCTTTTAACACATGGGGACAATTATTTAAACTGTGGCAACAGAGCAGCCAATAAGAACAAGGTAGGGGAAGAGGGGCTATGGCAGCCTCAAAGGCAAACACTGTAAATTAGAACAGTGAGAGAAACTAAGGGTTTATTCTCAGGGACGGCAGTGAAAGGGTTAGCCCAGGGTCCTAACAGTGTGAATAATCCCAGGCTCCTGGATTGCCCTACTGTCTGTCAACCTCATCATCTCCCCAGTTTCTTGACCCTTCCCCACCTGGCTCCCACCAGACTGAGGCTAGTTCTCAGCAGCCACACAGTCCCCACTGTGATAATGTGGGCCTCCCAAATAAAAGGTGACAACCTGGGAAGTGTGGTCAACCTGACTGGGTAGGAAGGAGATGACATGGCCTTACCTGTGGATGAGACTGGTCTTTCCCACATAGAGGTCACCAACAACCACCACCTTGGAGAGTTTGAGCCTGGGACAAATATGTCTGTGTCACCCTTGAGCATGGTTTCAAGAGTGTCTTCAACACACACAACTCTTTCCTTCCCTGAGTTCTCTGCAGTGAGTCACCCCTCAATTCTGAATTTAGCATGGGCCACACTGCCGAGCCTTTTGTTCTCCCTCCCTGATCTTCAAAGGGAAGAGTGGGAAAGCCTACATTTGTTTTGGAAACTCTGCTTACCCTAGGGATGTACCCTTGACCCCTCTTAGCCAAAATCACTGTCTTGAGAATTAGAAATGGGCATGAGGAGAGGCTGAGTCATAGGCTAAGGGGGCAGAGGTGGGAGTACAAGTGGGGCTATGGTAACCAGTAATGATGGGTACCTCTAATTGGGGGATGGCAGGGTGCCACACTGAGGATGCAGACATGGGGCCCAAGAGTGGGGAGACACCGACACAAGGGGTGGGTTGCAGCTTCTGTTTCCTGCTATGTACCCTCTGGGAATGTGTACCTACATGGACTAAGCTCACTATAAGCAGATAATCCCTGACCAGGAACCATTGTCACCTACTCACCTGGAGATGTGTGCAAGACTCAAACAGGCCAAGAGGTACGCCATGAAGAGAACTCAGGGTGTGCACATCTGAGCTGTGGCTTGAGGCAAATTTGCTATGAAGTTGTTGGGCTCCTTAGGGACACTGCTTATTGAGAGCAGCCACACCCTTACTATATATGTGTATATGTCCTGTAATCTGGGAAGCAGCATATTTGGGACTGTTGACAACACTTTCTTTCTGTAGCTCATTCTAAAGGATATCAATGGCTGAAGAAACCAACCCAGGGAAACATCAAATAGGCACTTCCCATGCTTGTAGACTGCAAGAGAGCACCTCTGTGTTACCTGGTGGCCTGACCTACAATTCAATTTACCACATCTGGTGAGGGTAGGGACTGTGTCTACCCTGCTTCCAGGAAGCCCTCTTCTTCTGGAATAGGCTGACCCTGACTCCATTATTCAAACTGAGAAGTAAAGATATTACCAGTATTATGGCAGGTACCCTCAGTACCTTTTTCTCCCTACCTCTGGTGTGGTCATGAGGGGTCAGGGATTCAGAACATGACTCTCACCCCATGAGCATGGCATGGCCCCTTTGACCATTCTGACTTTGTGCAATTCTGGGGAACTCTGAGCTGGGCTCTCTTTTGGCCTCACTATATCTGTGAGCACAGCCAACTCCCTGAGCAGACTGTGAGCAGGCCCCTATACCTGTTATTTAAAAGAGAGAACAACTGCAAAATCCTGTGCCAGTAGTGATAAGTACTATTGAGATAGGAACATAAGAGGCATATCCCTGGCCCTTGTGGGATAGCTCTAGTGAGGAATACAAACAGGCAAAACAGCCCTTAGATAAGTTCTTGGGCTTCAAGAATTCACAGGAAGGGCACCCCACTCAGCGGCTTAGGATGAGGGACAGTGGGAGCAGAGGATCAGATTAGGCTTCCAAAGGAACTGTCACAGAAAACCAAAGAGGAAGGGGAGGCAACAAGAGTAAGAAAGATGTTTCAGCCAGGTACGGGGTGCACACCTGTAATCCCAGTGGCTCAGGAGGCTGAGGCAAGAGGATCACAAGCTCAATACCAGCCTCAGAAACTCAGCGAATCCCTAAGCAACTTAGCAAGACTGTGTCTCAAAAAATAAAAAGGGCTGGAGATGTGGCATAGTGGTTAAGAGCCCCTGGGATTAATCCCCAGTAGGAAGGAAGGAAGGAAGGAAGGAAGGAAGGAAGGAAGGAAAGAAGGAAGGAAGAAAGATGTTATAGACAGTGGAAATGAACCTGTGTTGAGACCTCAGGAGGAAAAATCACCTGCATGAGATTCCGAGAAAAGGAAATGGCAATGTGTGTCAAGTAAAGCCAGACAAGAAATCCAGTACTGGACTGTGTCAGTCTAGTCCATGTGTTTTCTTTGTTCATTTTTAAATTCACACTTGCATTTGTTCCTTCTGGTCATCTCTCCCAACACCTCACATCCCACAGGCTCACCCAACAGTCCCCGTGTTCCTGCGCTGGCAGGCTGCGCTGACTTGCCCGTGGAAGTGCTCCTTGAGCTGCAGGCAGGCATCAGGTGTGTACCACTACAAAGAGACAAACAGACAAATACACAGACAGGCACACCATCCTGCAAAGCTACAACAGCCCTGTCACCTGAGCTGGGCATTGTGGGTTTACCTACTTCCCAGTGCTCCCCCTGAGCCTTGAGCCTGGCAGCCTCATTGGCTTTCCCTATTTCCTGTCATATCATAGGCTGCAAAGTAGCCAATTTTAGTGAGCCGATTTTAGAGACAGGGTAACTGAGGCACAGAGTAAAGGGTAGCACTATGTGGACCCAATACAACCTGACTGGGAATTCCTCAGGTTTGAAGTGCTGTGGCCCTGAGGTACAGGATAGGCTTGGCCAGCAATGGCCTATGATCCTAACTACTGTAGGCAGAAGGAGAACAGATGCCCCAGGTTGCCTCCCTAGGGTGGGGCATCCTGGAACCAAAAGTAGCTGGGTTGAATCCCTGCTCTGCCACTCCGGGCTGTGTGATGTCATGCAAACTTCTCTACCTCTCTGAGCCTCATTGTCTTGATCAATATGTACTTCCTCCCATGAAACTTGGACTGTTTTGTGCCAATCATATTTCCCTTCCTTTCAGTTCATGAAATACCAGTCTCCACCATCCCTAGTTACCACTGTCAAGCTCCATAGAGGAAGCAATGGCCCAAGCTTTGTTGCAATGGAAAACCCAGCAGAACTGTCCAAGGTCTGTGAGTGTGTGGAGAACAAACTTATTGGGGAAGGTGAATAAGGCGGGAGAAGGAATAGCTGCAGACCCCAAACACCCAGAGCCTACAGGTTGGCACAGATTCCAAAATATACAAAAGGCCATTTGGTGGCTTGTACCAAGCCACACTCAAACACCGATCAACTGATGGCAGAGTTTTAATCTTCCAGAAATATTTTCTGTCATGTATTAACAAACACAGACACTGTTTCTCTCTCTCTCTCTCTCTCTCTCTCTCTCTCTCTCTCGTGGTATGATGGATTGAATCCAGGGCCTCACACATGCTATGCAAGTGCTCTACCACTGAGTGACACCCCCAGTCACTGGAATGCTATTGTGGTAACAGTAACAATAATGAGAACAACAACAACCATTCCAACATGAGATGTTCATCCTTATGTAACAGTGGCTCCAAATTGTGTAACTTGCCTATGGTCACACATTTAATGAAGAAATCAGCATTCACACCTAGAACTGTCTGATTTATAACCTTCAGCCACACTGCAGCTCCCTGTCACCACTAGTCTGCCTTGGGCAAGTCAATACTCAGTTTTCCAGCTGCTCAAGAAGAAAGATCTCCTGGATTCACCTGCTTGATTTCTGGGGGTGACGGTAAGTTGAGGAAATCCGGGCATGGCCTCAGGGTCAGGAGGGCAATGTAGACAAAAAGCACTGGCCTAATGACTCTCTACCTTAGGAAAGTTGGTGATGATGCGGTCCCGGCTCACAGGGGGCCCCAAAGGCATCAGAGAAGACCTCATTCTTCCAGAGTCCTGTGGACTCAAACAGAGGAAAGAGAGTGTTAAATAAAATTTATAGGAGCCCATCATTTTGGATTAGCCTCCTTGCACTAGGCCTCAGCAGATCAGACCAAACCAGAATGTAGTCACTTGTGTTAGGTGCCACGTGATCAAACTGAACTCTGAAACAATCAGTTGTCAAAAACAAAACAAAAAAGCAAACAACAACAACAACAACAAAATCACCATGAGATTCATAGCAATTAATCCAAAGGGGCCCAGTTTACCTGAGTCAGGATGATATGGAAGTCCCTCCATTTTAACCTTGGTAACTTGAAACTAATCTGTTTTTTGTCCTGTTTCTGCTTTCTTCAGTACTTTTCTGCCTATTAAACTAACCTCTAATCCACTGGCTATGGTGGTACAGGCCTCTAGTACCAGCCTGGAGGCTAAAGTGGGACGATTATTTGAGCTCAGAAGTTTGAAACCAGCCTGGGCAACATGGAGAAACTGTCTCAAAACAAAAAGAGGGGAAACAAACAAACAAATTCTCCTGCTTAGCTCATCAGAACACTCATTCTATTTTATAGAAAGATGTGTTGCTGGATTCTAGGATCATTTGCAAATAACACCAATTAAGATCTTTAAATTTGGCTAGGTGCAATGGTGTATGACTATAATCCCAGGAACTGGGGAGGCTGAGACAGGAGGATCCCAAGTTCAAAACCAGCCTCAACAATTTAGCAAAGCCCTAAGAAACTTAGTAGGACCCTGTTTCAAAATTTAAAGAAATAAAAATAAAAAGGGCTTGGGATTGCGACTCAGTGGTTGAACCCTCCTGGGTTTTCAAAAAGAAAAAGAAAAAGAACCAAAACTTTAAATTTGTAATTTTCATCTTGACAAGAATTAGGGAGTCATGCAAATCCCCAAAGATGTATACCTAGGAGTTTCTGCCTAACTTTTCATCAGTTTTAAAACCAGATCTAAACCACCTTCTGTAAGGAATATGGGGAAAAGGCCAATGGGGCATAAGAAGTCAGGGCATCTCTTTCAATCTGCAGGCAGCACAGTGTGAGGGACTCAGGCCTGCTGGACTCTGCCTGGGAATCAGAAAACATGGGTCTCTTCTTGACAGGTGTCTAAGCAGGAGAGGCTCTTTCGCTGAGCTTAACTCTCTGGGGTGAGGCATTGCACAAAAGCCAGGATGAGGATCACAGCTCAGGTAATGAAAGCAGAGTAGGGAGAGTCCCCTGCTCCCAGTCTTAAAAGGATGAAGGCTGACTGGTCTGGGGATTTTTATGTTTCAGGCCTTTTTCCAGAAAGTCCTCATCCCACCCAGAGTCTGGTCCCTCAAAGCCTACTCAACGCCCTCCACATCATTTTCCGGTCTGGGGCTCCCTCTTCTCTGTAGGGTGGCCCTGACCAAGGTCAGTCTGTTGTTCTTCATTTAACCGCGCTCCCCTTCAGGACCAGAATGGGCCTGGCCCCAGGCCAAAGGCTGGCAGACCGCGTATAAGTTCTGGGAGTAGGAAGCAGGCGGGGGAAACCCTGAGACCTTGCGACCCTAGCCTCTGGAACGTGCCCTCACCGAGACCGAGGAGAGCCGACTTACCCAGAGAGCCTGCGAAGGTTCGGAGGTCGGCGTGGCCTGGTAGCGCAGCGCGCGCCCCCCGCCCCGTGATCACCACGGCAACAGGGGCAACGCGAGGTTGGCGAGGGTCGGACGAATCCCGGACGTCGGGGGTGGGGTCTGGGCGGAGCTGATATTGGAAAGAGTCCCGCTCACAGGCAGAACGGGCGATCACCATAGCAACAAGAGTCTCCCGGGGTCTGGGCCAGTCAGCCGAGAAAAGACTTCCGGACGCGGCCTAAGCGTCAGAGATCACCAAGGCAACCAGGGCGGAAACAGGATAGGCGGGCGACGGGCGGGACCAGGGAGTCCAGTGGGTGGAGCCGGAGCTCTATGGGGAGGAGGCCTGGATTGGGATTGACTTCAGAAAGAGGTTTGCGCGCGCTGCTCCCTCTGGCAATCATCTCAACAGGGAGGAGTAGTAGTAATCATGGGATTCATGGGATTAGAACTCTTGCTGTATTATGGGATTTGTTCGGAGTTCAAGCACCCTGATGGTTGTTGCCTGATGTCTGCCATCTTCTGACCTAACTGTATAGTTCTGAATCCGACGCTGTCTGAAAATCACATGCATGTCTGGCTTCCAGAGCACATGCTACAAAATGAATTTCTTTGATAAATGGGTGTTTAAAAGCTGGCTGGAGCCGGGCGCAGTGGTGCACGCCTCTCATCCCAGCGACTCAGAGGCTGAGGCAGGAGGATTGCAGGTTTGGGGTCAGCCTCAACAGAGTCTTTAAGCAACTTAATGAGGCCTGTCTCAAAAATAAATATAAAAAGAGCTGCGGGTGTTGTTCAATGGTAAACTACCCCTGGGTTCAATCCCCACTACAAAAAGAAAAAAATAAGGAAAAGTTGACTAAAATTACTGAACTCCCCTGAGCTGGTTTGTTTGGAAAGTGAGGTTGTGTGTAGAGAACTACATGGTCTCCAGAGGCCCTTTAAAAATCTTATTTTTATTTTTTAGTTGTCAATGGATCTTTACTTTATTTCTATATATGTGGTGCTGAGAATTGATCCCAATGCTTCACACATGCTAGGCAAGTGCTCTACCACTTAGCTACAACACCAGATCCTCCAGAGGCCCTTTCATAAAACCATGTAACTAGATTCAAAGAGGTCCTGGTTTTCCAGTTTTGAGAACCTATTTAATTCAGCTCCTTTTTACACAGACAAGGAAACTAAGACTCTTATTCATATGAAAGGATTCAAACCTAGTGAGTTAGAATTAGAATTGAAACCCAGATTTCTTGACTCCCAGCCCAGTGAGTGCTCTTCATAGCACTTTCCTAAAACAATTAGAACGTTCTCCTTTTAAAAATTTATGTTTTAAAATTAATCTTTATTTTAAATGTATGACTTTTATCATTTTGGGTGCAAAACCAGGTTGATTTTCATTATTTTATGTACTTTTAGGATGCTTCATTTCTCTTTTGGGTTGGTTGGAATCAAATTCATCCAAAGGTTAGCAGTAAGTGAGCAGAGCCAAACTTCTCTGATGACTAGTTTTCCTTTCTTGATGAAATTTCAAGGAGGGAGTTTGAGACAATTTCATTTTTGGGGGGGCAGGGTGTATCAGGGATTGAACTCAGGCACACTTGACCACTGAGCCACATTCCCAGCCCTATTTTGTATTTTATTTAGAGACAGGGTCTCACTGAGTTAGTTGCTTAGTGCCTTGCTGTTGCTGAGGCTGGCTTTGAACTCATGATCTGTCTGTCTCAGCCTCCTGAGCTGCTGGGATTACAAGCGTGCACCACAGCGCCTGGCTCATTTCTTTCTGAAGATTTCCTTCAGTCAGATAAGGAAAGTTCAGAGCAAGAGCTTCCTGTGGTTGGCTGTGGTTATACTAAAGGGACCTTGATTTTAAGCAGCTGCTAAGACTTCCAATTCCATTTAATTCAAAGTTGTTTTAGTCAGCTTTTTCACTGCTGTGACTAAAAGATCTGACCAGAACAATATTAGGGAAGAAAAGTTGAGGGTTTATGGTTTCCAAGGCCTTAGTCCCTAGAAGGCCAGCTCCAATTCCTCGGAGCTGGATTTGAGGCAGAACATCTTGGCAGAAGAGCATGGCTGAGGGAACCAGCTAGCTCATAGGATGATCAGGAAGGAGGAAGCAGGACTTTATCCTTTCAAGGACAATAGGGGACAAAGCAGATTTCTCTCCTCCTCCTCCTCCTCCTCCTCCTCTTCCTCCTCCTCCTTCGTGCTGGGGATTGAATCCAGGGCCTTGTGTATGCAAGGCAAGCATTCTGTCAACTGAGCTATATCCCCATTCCTAGGGGGCAGATTTCTGCATCACAATATGATGTTCTTGATACACATATCCAAGTTAGTCATCTTTAATTCAGAACTAATATACTGGAGGCAGATGTTCCCATACTTTTGTTAATAGGTTTCACTGAGAAGGTCTCAGACCTAGGGGATAAACTTAGGTGAGTTGCTTTTTAGGCACCACAGTTTGCTCAGCTATGAACCTATCTACTTCAAGGGTTTCTTATGAAGATCACATGAGATAGTGATCTGTTAGTTGCTGAGGCTGGTCTAGAACTTGTGATCCTCCTGCCTCAGCCTCCTAAACCCAGGTTCTGTGAAAGTGCTTTTAGATTGTAAAGTTCCATTCAAATCCATTAACCACTTAGTTTTTTTCTATTCTTACTGAACATCTCATGGGATATGCCTGGCCCTGGGGAGGCAAGGAAACAGAATTGATGTGGTTTCTTTCCACAGAGAAGTTGTATATCTCTAGGGGAATCAGAAATAAATAGAGGGCTAGGGGTAAAATTCAGTGGTAGAGCACTTCCTTTGCTTACCCAGGGCTCTGTGTTTGATCCCCAGCACCTGGAGGGAGTGTGACAGTGGGGGTGATTAAGGTATGAGATATGAAATATCTTAGTAATTTGGATTTGTAGAGGAAAAAAAGGTTCCTAGAGAAAGTGTCCACCAATTTGCCTCTTGAAGGACAAAGAGGTCATTAGAGTTACAGGCAATACAGGCTTTGGGAGGGAGCCAGTCATGGTAATGATATCTATAATCCCAGCTACATGGGGAAAGCTACTGAACCTGAGATTCCTATCCCTAACCTGCATAATGTTAACCACCTCATGGCTTTACTCTGATGATCAAAAGCATGGAAAATGTTGGGCATGATAGTGCAGGCCTGTATTCGCAGCGACTTTGGAGGTTGACGCAGGAAGATTCTAAGTTCGAGCAACTTAGTGAGACCCTGTTTCAAAAGAAAAATAAAAAGGGTTGGGTCGTGGCTCAGTGGTAAAGCGTTTCTGGATTCAATCCCAGTACGAAAAAAGAAAAAGAAAGTGCCTAGTACTGAGAAAGGCATACATTAGTCACTTCCTTTCAGTTCTGTACCCTGAAGAAAGCTGGGGGGTCACTTTTGTTCCCCTTAGTAAACCTGTCAAACATTGTTGCTCCCACTTGGAGTAGGACATCAGTGCAGCCGTTCGCGCCTGCTCCGTGGGCGCCATTTGTAGAAGCCGGACGCAGCAGCCGCTGCTGGAGTCTCCTGGCAACCAGGTTGCCTGGCAACGGGAGCACGCCGACGGCTGGGGGGTGCCAGAAGACTGGAAGAGCTGAGGCAGGTGAGGGGCGGCTGTGGGTCAGTGGCGCGGGGACAGGGGGGCTCCCTGACCTACCCAGACCTGCCCACCCAGGACCGATGTCTCCACACCCTATCCTGCGTGTTTCTATAAATGACCGGACTCCAGTGTGTGCCCTCTAGAGGAGGGCAGGTCCCTGTCCCAATGCCTACTGTTTCCTGAGAGGGGAGCCCAGATCAGATATGGTTGTGTCATTCCCAGAGAGGCCCCTTTACCCTTGTCATCTGATGCCAGGTATCAGAGTTTGATTCAATTTTTACTGGGGAGATTCCTGACTATGTGACTAAATGCAATAACAATCATAACAATAGCCACAGGCTTGTAGGCCTCTGTTAATGGTTAATATGATAATGCTGGAAGGACAGGAAGGAGGTACTACTATTACTTCTTGTTTTTGTAATCGTAGAAAGGCACAGATGGAGGAGAAAACTTATTAAGGACCACTCTGACCTGGGATTGCAGCCAGCCCTTAACCACTAAGCCACACTGCTAATAGTTGTTGAAAGTGTGTGTGTGTGTGTGTGTGTGTGTGTGTGTAATAAAAATAACTCATCCTCTAACCTTAATTCTTTTTTTGCAGATGTATTCTAAACATGTGAATATGGGTTCTTGACAGGTGAATGAGCTAGACCTGGATTTGGACAATGGCTTCTAGCTTTACCAATTCTTCGACCTCCAAGCTCCTTGGCTTTTCTCTTAATTTCCTCATTTGTAAAATGTGGATAATACAAGTCTTCTCCTTATGGGGTGGTTGAGTTAAGTACTAGTTATTGCTGGCATCAGATAATCACTAAATAGAGAGACCATCTTGGTGTTTGCTTGTTTGGTTTGTTTTGTCCCTTCAGTGCCTGTGAGAACCGAGCTTATGAACTGTCAGAGTGTTTTCCTCTGTTGTTAAATGAATTGCATGGGAGAACTCTGCTTATCTGTAAAATGCAATATAGCCATTCACCTGCCCTCACAGTTTTGGTGATCAGATGAAAAGTAGTCTTTAAATCACAATAGTAATAACACAGCTTTTTGGGTTTTTTTAATCAGTGGTCTCTGCAGAACTTCATTTTGAAAGTCCTTTGCATGTGGAAAGATGGCTCATGCCCAGATCTCCAAGTATCTTCCTCCCGATATCAACCCCACCAAGGCTGCCATTGCCTATGGTTGTAGGGCCCTGCCCAAGCTGAATGAAGAGCTAAATTCAGAAGACCTGCTGACAAGGCAGAAAGCCCTCATGGCCCTCTGTGATCTCATGCATGACCCTGAGTATGTCTACGAGGCCATCAACCTAGGTGAGAATTTCACAGCCCAAGTGACCATGACTGGGATCTTGGCATAGCTCAGACACTGTTTGGAGCTTCAGTAATAAGGGTTGCTATTTAATGAGCCTCACTTGGGGCCAGCAGTACCTCAAGTGTTGTGCCTGAGTTATCTTAGTTCTTGTAGTGGCACTTTTAAGAGAGGAAATGTTCTGAATCTACAGACAAGAAAACTGAGGTTCAAAGAAAGGGTGTGAGTCTGGGATTGCCTAATCAATAAATTAATCAGGTTTTTTTTTTTTGTACTGGGGATTGAACCCAGAGACACTTTACCACTGAGTTACATCCCCAGATCTTTGTATTTTTTTAAATTTATTTTTGAGACAGGGACTAAGTTGCTTAGAGCCTTGCTGATTTGCTGAGGCTGGCCTAGAACTTGTTATTCTCCTGCTTCAGCCTCCCGAATCACTGATTACAGTCATGTGCAGAGTTTTTATTTGCTGAATCTGGTATCCTTAGATATATCCCATTCAAGGTCATGTGACTAGTTTGGGACAGGGTTGTAATTTTATCTCACATCTCTCCTGGGGTCAAAGAAATGGCAAAGGTCTTTTACTTAACACCATGGATGATTTTGAGAGAAGGCACTGGTAGGAAGTATACAAGGAAAATTGAGAAGTGTTAGATGAGATGGTCTCTGGGTGTGAGCCCTTTCAGTGACTCTCAAATGCTGTGTAACTGACATGATTCTTTAACACCCAAAGCAGTGGAAACGCTAGTCATTCTTGTTGTCCAACATTTTCTCACAAGTTGACTTCTGGGTTAATTAATTTCTAGTAATGGCAAATGTTCAAAGATTTTTCTATCTCACAGGCTTCCTGGAGAGCCTGAAATCTTTGCTGAAGGATGATGATGACGTGGTTCGAATAAAGACCACCGAGGTGCTCTACATCATGGCGACTCATAACGTGGGCAGGTGGGCAGCTGTCTCTTAGACCAATGCCTTATTTGGAAGACACACTCATCTCTGGATGGATGTTCTTGACTGACCTTAGTGTTCTTAATTTTTTTCTGTAGCACTGGTCTTTGGTGGGACTTCTGTTTGACCAGAACAAACCTTTGTGTGGGGTGATTTTTGGTTCCTTTTGTGAGGGCCTAATGGGACCCTCTGTTCCAGACTAATTTTTATGTTAGCGTCTAGCTATGAACTTCCCACTTTGAAGGTAGAAATTTAGTTCAGATCCCACATCTGCAACAATTTTGTCTTTTCTTTGATTTTTATGGGAAGCCAATTTCCCTGTCCCAGATCCCCACAGGGTCTGTGGCTCTAATTCCTGTTCCTGTGCAGGTGGTAAAATACCAGCTTCAAAGCACACATCTGTTTTAGATTGGTGATCTTACTTCTTGCTCAGGATGCTAGGTTCTTGGTTTCTGGCACCTAGAAATGTCCCTTTCCTGTGTACAGATTTGCATTTTACATTTAAACATATTTTACTACCACTAACCCTTGGTTAAGGGTTAGTGGTAGTAAGGGGAGGCTTGGAGGTGCTTTATCATATTAGTTGAGTTCAATCTTTTGACCAGAGATCACTAGTTTTACTTTGTATTAAAAACAGAACCCCACCTGGGCACAGTAATCCCAGTGGTTTAGGAGGCTGAGGCAGGAGGATTGCAAGTGGAGAACAACCCTAGCAACTTAGTGAGGTCCTAAGCAACTTAGTGAGACCCTGTCTCAAAGTAAATAAAATAAAATAAAATAAAATGGGCTGGGGATATGAATCAGTCGTTAAACACCCGTGAGTTCAATCCCTGGCACCAAAACAAACAAACCAAACTCTAAGTCATATCCCCAAACTCTACCCCTGGTCTTCTATATAAAGGATAATAATGGCCAGTGTGCACAGGTCCAGAAAAGAAGGGCAGCTTAAAGGGCAAGATGCTGACTGCCTTTAGGCTTGTTGAGTATGAACAGCAGTCACCCATTCTGAGAGATGTCAATCCATGTCAAGAGTGTGGGGGTATCTCATAAAACCCAAACTTACTGGGCCCTGTCACTCCCCAAGCTCTCAGACTGCTGGGGTCCTTCTGAGTACCTGCTTCAACCTGATCCTGCAGCCCTGGGCTAATTGGGTACTATGAATGGGGAGTGATGGTGATGATGTGGGGACATGGGGGGAGATAGAGGCAGGGGAAGGTAGTGCCGCAGTTAGCATTCTAAATCACACACTGCAACAGGTAGTAGATCAGTGCTGTGGTCAGAGCAGTGGGGTGAGGCCGTGGGCTCTGGTGTGTCAGGGTGGGGGGCACACTCTTCTCCTCTGTGACCTTTTGATACAAGTCTCAATTTGCCTATCTGAAATTACCTCAGAATGGTTCTTTAAAACTTTAAACAGGGCAAGGTGTGCTACTGTGTGCCTGTGCTGAGGTAGGAGGATCACTTGAGCCCACAAGTTCAAGCCCAGCCTGGGTAGCACAGCAAGATCCTGACTCAAACCAAACAAGAACAACCAATCAACAAACAAAAACAATTTTAGGGGTACAGGATCAGGTTGGAGCAGGTACTTAGGAGGACCCCAGGGATCTGAGAGCTTGGGGAGTGACAGGGCCCAGGAGTCAAGTGTCTCTCATTTTTCTTGTTGTTTTTCCTTTTTTTTTCTGGACTTGATATGGACATTAGGTTATAGTTTTTAGGGAGGGACAATGGATGCTGAGGAGAGATGATCAAATAGAAGTAAATGCCTAGGGAAGGTGACAGTAAATTATTTAGTGGCACTAGGATAACCTGCACTGGGGAGTCCTGGCTGTGCCCACATTAACAATATGGGAGGATATGGCGAAAAATCTGGCCTTCGCACAGAACATATTCAGTGTTCTCAGCCATTCCTCACACCACCATTGTGAGGCAAGTTGGGTACTGGGGGAGACCAGAGAGAGGACATACTACTATGTGCCCAGGGTCTAGGAGTCCAAACTCCAGCCTCTTACCAGCATACTACATTGGACAAGGAAGACAAAGGGCCAAAAACAAATATGGGTGATTTCTATATTTCCCCCAAGTTCAGCAGTAATCTTACAACTAAAGCCAACAGGTTTTGGAGCCCATTCAAATCCTGTGTAACTGCCCTGAACTGCCTGTGTTGAAACCTTTTTGCCCTCTTGCTATACAGGAAGTGATGGAAGGGGTGATGAGGATAGCAGCCCAGGCTGGGCATCTTGACACCTTGGGAAGTCAATTCACATATTTTCATGAACAGGAGAGTTTCCTAAATGGTCTAATCTTTCCTCTAGCTTGTGTGCTAGTGAGAGGGGCCACATAACTCCACAGACAACATAACTGGCTTTATTATAATTTTTATTTTTTGAGTGATCGAGATTAAACCCAGGGCCTCATGCATGCTTAGGACATGCTTTGCCACTGAAATAGACCCCCAAATCTTTTTATTTTATTTTTAAAAATGAGATAGGGTCTCATTGTTTCCTAGGCTGGTCCTGAACTCCTTGGCTCAAACCATCCTTCTGCCTTAGACTCCTGAGTAGTTGGGACTACCGTTATGCACCACCCAGCTTTCAAGCATGAATGACATAGAATGGGTCACAGGGTATTGACTGTCGAGAACCCAATGGTCAGTGAAGTCCCCTGCAACTTGTGTGTCCCATTATGATCTTTTCTTCCAGAACAATTCAAAACATTCCATAAATACATGACCAGTGTAACTCCACATCAAGTACAACCACAAGAATAGGATCCTAATTAGAATAAGTTATACTCCATGTATGTATAATATATCAGAATACATTCTACTGTCATGTATATCTAAAAAGAACAATAACAACAACAAACATTTCATTAAGGTTAATGCCATTGTAGCATAATTAGTTGCATATGTCCTATATTCTGGGAACTTAGCTGAGGGCTTCACACATGACTTCTCATTTATCTCTGAATTCTGCTCTGACAGATGTGACCTCAGCAGTCCTCTTTACAAGTTCAGTTGGATTCAATAATCAGTTGGTTGCTTTAAAGAAATGGTGAAAGCTGGGCGGCAGTGGCGCATACCTGTAGTCCCAGCAGTTTGGAAGGCTGAGGCAGGAGGATCACGAGTTCAAAGCCAGCTTTAGCAAAAGCGAAGCTTGCTAAGCAACTCAGTGCAATCCTATCTCTAAATAAAATACAAAATAGGACTGGGATGTGGCTCAGTGATCAAGTGCCCTAAAAAAATTTATTTTAGATTACCATTTTGCTGGGCAAACCCTAAACAAAAACAAAAACAAAAAACAAAAAAACCTCCCCCAAATCCAATCAAACAAAAAAAGTGATGGAGGGGTGATGAGGATAGTAGGGGATCCAAGAAAGAAATGGTATATTTTCTTTAAATGATTCATTTTAACCCAAAACACAAATGATAAGACATTGCTAATCCCCATATGGGACCTAGGCCTTTTCTAGGCTATGGATCCACTGGATGGTATGTCCTTGTCAGCTTTTTTTCTTTAACCACACACCTGATTTGCAACTATGGTTTCATTAAAGCAGAGCAAGAACTGGAAAACACTGGTGAAATAATCTGTGTGCAAAAAACATTCTAGAATCTTTTACAATTATCTCACTTTTTTTTTGTTTTTTAGACTTTTGAGTCTTTGCAAAACATTCAAACTTTTTTTCATAAGAAAATTTTAAAAAGTCTTCTCACCTAGTTGGCTTACCTAATATATATATAATCCTATTCATAATTATAATTACCCTATTCATAATTATAAAAACAAGCATAACAGGTACCCATAGGTCTGGAGGTAAGCAGCTGGCCTCTGGCAAGCTCACAACTCAACTAGGGGAAGATAAGTGGGAGAAGTTGGGGCGGGTGGGCTTATGGAGCTCAACTGAGAGCCAGTGAGCTCAGCCCTGCAGTTCAGGCAAGGTAGGTGCTTTGCCTGAACCCCTCTGCTGAACCATCCTCATTTTACAGACCTTGGGATTGATTGAGGGCCAGAAGAGTGAAAATAAGAATACAGGGGCACAAAGAGCTGGAGTCTAAATCATGGCTAGGAAGGAGCAGAGCTATGTGATTCTTGTCACCACATCAACTACTGCTCTGCTCTCATGGCTTCCGGGGATTCCAGAATGTGGTGTTTACTTCTGGCCTTGTCTGCCCTATCTAACATGAATTCAGACTCCCACAGGGGCCTGACCTCTTATTTGATCCTCTCCAGGCATGATATTAGTTATGTCTAAATCCACTTTTTCTTCCCAGAAATGGCTTTTTAGAGAATGATATCATCCTTGCCCTGTCCTTCCTGATGGATGACCCCTATGCACTGTGCCGGCAGAACCTGCACCAGGCATTCAAGTACCTGGCCCAGCTACCTTCAGGTAGGCTTGCCCTACAAGCAGATCTGGTAGATTTTCCTGTGGCCCCTGGACTTCCTCGCCAGGTCACATACACGCCAGACTGCAAATCACAGTCCTCAGTATATTAAAAAAATTTTTTTAGATTATCATTTTGCTGGGCATGATGGTACATGCCTATAATCCCAGCTGCTTGGGAGGTCAAGTTAAGAGGCTCACCTGAACCCAGGAGTTTAAGACCAGCCTGGATAACAGACTCACATCTCAACAATTTTAGCAACAACAACAAAAAAGTTACCTTTTTATTAAAATATAACATGTACTTTTAAAAGCACACATACGGGCAGTAGTTCATAGCTCAGAGATAGAGTACATACTTAGCAAATACAAGGCCCTGTGTTCAACCCCCAGCACCCTTCACATGAAAAAAGCAATAACTACAACAACAACAAAAGCAAAATCACGTATGTGAATATTTGATTAAATTGCACTAAATGAGTATGCCATGTGACAACTACCCAAGTCAAGAAATACATAGCATATTTCAGTACTCCAAGGCTTCCCATAAACACCATACAGGGTTCTACCTCACATCCAAAGAGAAACAATATATTTAATTTATAAGGCCATAGCTTAGTTAATGTTTTTTTTTTTCAGTGCTGGGTATTGAACACAGGTCCTTATACATGGTAATCATGTACTATACCCCCAACCCTGTTCATGTCTTTTTAAAAACTTAATGGAAATAGAAACATACAGATTATAATATTTTGCTTCTTTCACTCAATGTTTTGTTTCTGAGATTCATGTATGTTATATATTACTGATTTCTGCTGTTTTAGTGCTGGGGTTTGGTATACACATTATATATATAATGAGAGTGTACTGCAGTTTATCCATTCTGCTGCTGAGGGACATTTGAGTTGTTTTTACTTATGGCTACCAAGAACAAAGGGGTATAGACACACTTATATATGTCTTCTGGTGGGCACATATGTACATTTCTTTTGAGACATATGTAGGAGTAGAATTGGCTGGCATAAGATAAATTCATGTTCAGCTTTAGATGGTACTACTAAATGATTTTCTAAAATAGTTGCACCAATTTTCACTCCCAGTAGCAGTATATGAGAGTTCCAGGTATTCTACATTCTAATCAACATTTGGTCTTTTCTTTTTATTTTAGCTAGTTTGATGTGTGTGTGTGTGTGTGTGTGCGCGTACGTATGTGTATATAGTATCTTGTTTTTATTTTATTTTATTTTTGAAACTTTTACTTTTTTAATATATATCTTTATTTTTTTAATGTGGTGCTGAGAATCGAACCCAGTGCCTCACGCATGCTAGGTGAGTGTGCTACCACTTGAGCCACATCCCCAGCCCCAATTTTTTTTTTTTTTAATATTTATTTTTTTTAGTTTTCGGCGGACACAACATCTTTGTTTGTATGTGGTGCTGAGGATCGAACCCGGGCCGCACGCATGCCAGGCGAGAGCGCTACCGCTTGAGCCACATCCCCAGCCCCGAATTGTTTCTATTTTAATATGTATTTCCTTGGTAATTAAAGGGGAGCCCATTTATTTATTTATTTATTTATTTATTCTGAGATGGGGGTCTCACTATGTTCCCCAGCCTGATCCCGAATTCATAGGCTCAAGTGATCCTCCTGCCTCTCAGCCTCCTGAGTAGCTGGGATCACAGGTGCAGGCTACCATGCATGACTGGAGGCCCTTTAAAAGTTCTCTTTTATGAAATGTCACAGCAGGTTTTTAGGAATAAAGAAGGCCTGCCCCAAAGGTAATGTTGTACACACTCACTGTGGGCCCCTTCAACCCTGGTTTGTGGTACCCTTCAGCTGACTGCTCCTGCTAATTAGATGGGGAATCTAGGGTAACGATCACATGCCAACCACAGCTAGAGGGTTGACACTCGTCAGGTCGACATCCACCTGGTTGCATGAGCATTTTTAAATGAAATGCTCATTCCAAGAGTTGGGACAGTAGGCCTTGAAGTGGTATTTTAGGTAAAGGTAGACAAGTCAATGTTATAGTGCAGAAGTCAGATGAATCTGGTTTCCCTTCCCTTCATTCCTACAAGTTATTTCCTCAAATATAAAGTGAGGACAAAGTGAGATCAAAGTGAGAAAACACTGGCTAAGTGTACAGTCTGGCACCCTGAATAAGAAGTATAAGCATTCAGGGACTGTGAGACCTCCCTGAATTAAGGCCCAGAGACAAATGACTATGGGATCAGGTGCAGAGAGACAAGCCCAGCAGAGCAGTGCCCATGAGGATTGCTGCCTGTTCCTGAGGCACATCTTCCTCCAGCTGAACTGGGCTAGATGTTGGGCAGCATGCAAGGGTAGACAACAAGTGGTATTTTTAAAATGACCACTACAGGGGCTGGTAGTATAGCTCAGTGGAGGAATGATTGCCTGCCACGTGGAGACACTGGGTTCAATCCTCAGCACTGGTTCAAATAAATAAATAAAGCAAAGGTATCGTGTCCATCTACAATTTTTTTAAAAAAGACAATTATATCCCTGGTCCTCTCCCAAACCACCAAGATCAGTCTCTGGGGATCACCTCTGCACAGTTTTTTTCCCCTATATGGTAGTGGGGATTGAACCCATGGCCTCCCACATGCCAGGCAAGCACTCTACCACTGAGCTACACATCTATTCCACACACATATATTTTTAAATGCACCCTTGGCTGTTTCTCACATGTGCCTGGTGTTGAGAGCCTTGAGGTATCTGGTGTCTTCATAGAGGACCAGTACCAGGGCTGAACTAAACTTGTGCCCTGTGCTCACCATGCTAAAACTCAAAGAGTGAGGCAGGACTTGGTCACCTCTCATTCCTAGTGTGTGGGAAGGCTCTTAAAATTAGTATTACCTATTTAAAAGTGTCACCCAAGGCTCTTAAAATTAGTGTTACCTATTTAAAACATTTGAGAAACAGAGATAATAATAATGAGGGCTGAATACCACCATTCAGCTTTGCCAAATTGTAACATTCTACAATATTTCATATTTGTTTGAAAAAAGTCATATATAAATCCAAGTACTTTGTGAACCTTTTCCCACTCTTCCTCCCATCCTCCCTTGAACACTAATAAACTTTGTGACTAGATCCTCAATAAATCTTTATATTTATCACAAATATAAATTATATTATATATATATGTAATTTTGCTTTGTATGTCTTAACATGTCTTAACAGATCTTGCTGTACATATCCATATGCTACTTAAAATACCTTTTAAAACACTGCTTTTTAAAAAATGTGGGTACTAGGGGTTGAATTCAGGGGTAGTTAGCCACTGAGCCACATTCCTAGCCCTATTTTATTTTTAAAAAATATTTATTTTTTGGTGTAGATGGACACAACACAATGCATTTTATTTTCATGTGGTGCTGAGGATCGAACCTGGGTCCCGCCCGTGCTAGGCGAGTGCTCTACCGCTGAGCCACAATCCCAGCCCCCTAGCCCTATTTTATATTTTATTTAGAGACAGGGTCTCACTGAGTTGCTTAGTGCCTCACCATTGCTGAGCCTGGCTTTGAACTCAAGGATCCTCCTGTCTCAGCCTCCCCAGCTGCTGGGATTACAGGCATGTGCCACCATGCCCAGCTTAAAACACTGCTTTTTAAAAGGTATTTTTTTAAGTAGCATGGATAAATATTGAGATTGTCCATGTCATATCATGGGCTATATTTCATTTATTTCTACTGCTTCATGTTTTCACAGCATTTTACTGAACCATGATATTTTTCTTTTTTTTTGTTCTTTTGAGATATACATGACAGTAGAGTGTATTTTGACATATTATCCACAGCCATAAAGTATGCCATGATATATTTCTATGTTGAAACAACTTATTTGTTGAATTGTTGGCTCCATAGTTTTCACTTGTTTCTCTGTTGGGTGTTTCGGCTCCTGTGCTGCAGAAGGAATGACAGTGAGAGTTCCAGCTCTGGTTTTCCTGGTACACTCAAGGGAGAATCCCTCGGGTCCTCTCCTGAGGAGGGCGATCACACATCCTTGTTAGCATCCCAGTGGGTAGCTCTGGTGTTTCATTGTTGTGTTGCTTTGTTGATCCCTGTGATCAGTAAAAAGGATCAAAAAAAGTTTCCCCTCTGGCAACCTCTGCCTAGAGCCTCTGGGGATCCAGGGTACCTCAGAGTTCTTTTTTTATTTCTTAATTTTTTTTAATAATTGTAGATGGACAGAATGTCTTTATTTTGTTTGTTTATTTTTATGTGGTGCTAAGGATCGAACCCAGTGCCTCATGCCAGCTAGGCAAGCACTCTGGCACTAAGCTACAGCCCCAGCCCCTTTTTCTATTTCTTATTGATTCCAGGAAGTGTTCTTCGTTTATCTCAGATTTCAAGCCATTGTTGGTTACCTACATTGCAAATATCATTTCCCAAGATGTTTTTGTGACTTCTTACTATTTATTTGTTGAATCATTGGCTCCATAGTTTTCATTTGAATAATGTAATCAGTTTCATCAATCTTTTCCTTTGCATTTTTTTGCAGGGGTAGGGTTGTGTGTTGAGTAAGAGAATTCTTTACCCTGAACTTTGGAGATATTTTGCTATATCTTCTGCTGAAACCTTTAAGTTTTGCTTTTCACATTTAGTCTGTGAAGATACTTGGAAAGGAGTTCTATCTGTCTGTTTTTAGTGCTTGACAATCTAACACTGCCTGGACCCCAAAAGCTCTTTGGTTATCTGAGTTCTAAATGATGTTGCATGCCTGAAATTGGGAGGCTGAGGCAGGAGGATCACAAGTTCAAGGCCAGCCTTGGCAACTTAGCAAGACCCTGTCTCAAAATTAAAAAAAAAAGGCCCGGGGATGTACAATGCCCTGGGTTCAGTCCCTAGTACCTAAAAAACCATTCCAAACCAAACCCAACCAAAACAGAAGCCTTGGCCCTTTGTCATAGGATTTGCTGGGTGCTGCTCATCATTTGTGAAGGGCCCAGAAGGGAGGCCTGGGACCCTCTGGTGGAGGGATG